GAAACACTTGTCTATTCCGATGCCATCAGAATCCTTCTTCAGATCCTCAATGAGACCAATCGCAGCGAACCTCACAAACAGATCATTGCTCTCACCGTTAATATTCTCCTCAATATCGCCAAAGTATGTCTCAAATCACTGTCTATTCATTCATTTCATTACTAATCTATTGTTTCGTTTGTTTTATAGTACGACAAAACGTGTCAGGATTTAGTTTCAAATCCAAAAACAATTGAAACGTTATTCAAAATCGTCAAAAGTTTTGGTCGAAATTCTCCTCAACTTATTTGCAAATGTTTTACGCTTTTATATATTCTAATGGATGACCAAACCTTTTCTGATGTAATTTTTACAGAGTTTTTGTTAAAATAATTCTTGAAATTAATGTTTATTTTGTTAACAGAACGTAAAGAAAGATAAGCGCAAAGTGGAGGCAATCAAACAGATTAGCGATTATTCGATGAAAGACAAGTCGTTCAAGAAATACAAACTGAGAACTAATTACAAGTTTTGTCCGAATTGGCAAATCGGCAAAAGAAATGTCTATGAATTCGATAACAATTTCATTGCTATTCAAGTGATGGTTCGTCGGCTCAACATATAATAATATTTGGGTTTTTAATATGTTTTTTAAATTTAATAATATAAATGTCTGTATTTTACTGTTAATCCTATACTAATTTGTATTTTATGAAAACAACTTCACATTTTACACAATAATTATTCGATAATAAACTCTTTTTATATTTTATTAATAAAATATGAATATTGCATTTTAAATCAGATCTAATTTTATAATGGGCTCTATTTTATATAATCAAAAATTTATATTCTTATAATTACTGTATTCATTCAAAAGTTATATAAGCTTAAATTGTGCATAAAAGATCTAGCTGATAAAATTCTGTTTAAATGTTTGCCAATCATTTCAATTATACGACACTATCTACTGAATAGTATCGGCAATACGCTTAAAAATCTCGAGATCGCATATTCTGTTTGGTCACAACAACCGGTTCCCTCCAAAGCACCGGAGCTCTGGACAACAAACCAATTGTTGCGACACTTGAGATACAAACAAATATTCTGTAATTTAATCAATATGTTAGTGTTAGTTATGGCATCAAATGTCACAAATCCAGAGAAAATAACTGACATCATGATCGGAATAATGTCAATATTTAGTGCTATATATTTGTTTGCACTGTTGGTCAGCCGTAATCTTAATACCCGGATAACGGGGAGCCGTGCGGGTGATATCCAAAGCCTCGTTTAATGGGTTCGCTTCCGTTGACATACATATGATTTTACGACCACTTGACACATGTATTCAATTAGTTATTTAGATCTCAAATGATATCAAATGCTATTATTATAAACATTACAGAGACTCCACATAAGGAAGTGGAGAGATGCTGTTTAAACTGTTTGACACTACAGACAGACCAAGTCCTGCGACTAATGCCTAGATTTGGAGACATTATGAATCCATTCTCATCGCACTCTTTGGTCTCGGAGTCGACACTTCCGTCGTGATGGACACCCAAACTGTTAGCAAAAAAGGATAATTCATTTGTCTATAAATGTTTGTAAGACATTATTCTATGAACTTTGCCTTAAGTTGTAGATATCAATATAAATTACAACCAGTTGTTTAGATTTGTTTTCTAAAGTTATACTTAAACTGATAGAGAAATATAATATAATTTATAATTTATGACAAATAAGTGAAAAGTCCTACAAATGTCCGAATTCGTTGACTAGTGTTCGGAGTCATGAATACCCGTCGATGTGCTCCACTATAGCACATCTGTCATTGTCTGCGCCCAGGGTTACCGTGTACGCCATCCCCACTATATTTGTTTCAACTTTTCCATCACCATATGTCCATAGGTTGGAACTGAGCAGGGTATAGCATTTATTAATTAATATGCATTTATTAGAAGAATTCAATAGCAACGGTAAATAATACGTGAAAATTTGCATCATTTTGTCTCTCAGCCCACCGACAGAAGTGTCTTAAATATAAAGTGGCGTTCCAGTGGTGGTGTCCTCAAAGGGGGCGATCGAAAAGTGGGTGACAATGAGTGTAATGTGAATGAACAAGGCCACATTCATTTGATTTAATGACTTCTGAAGGTATGCCAAATGAATGGCAGCGAACTCTTGGGCCAAATGTATGTTCCTTTGAATCTGTATTTGAATAACCGATCGATTGAAACGGAGATCCGAAGAGTTGAATGACTGAAATAAACGGATGACAAGTCGTCCTCCACTTTGTTTCTTCTGAACTCTGGTCTCACTTTACGGTCAATGCNTCTGTATTTGAATAACCGATCGATTGAAACGGAGATCCGAAGAGTTGAATGACTGAAATAAACGGATGACAAGTCGTCCTCCACTTTGTTTCTTCTGAACTCTGGTCTCACTTTACGGTCAATGCCTCTGTCGTTACAATCAGTTTCAATTGTTTTACCAAATTTGTGTGTATTTATCAATCATTTTAAAAATAGTAATTCAAATTACCGGACAATTGATTGCCACAAATGGCTGTTTTGTCTAAAGAGTTGGAAATCACATCCATTTCATACAATTCTGGCGATCGTTTCACTCGATTCCTAACATTCATTGAACTTTTG